GCTTGTAAATAGCGTGTGCGTGCTCCCCTAACCTGATATGGTCCTCTGCTCCCGCCATATCTGCCTCTCCCACTGACCGTACTAATTCCTCCCTCCTCCTTCAATCCCCCACCCTCTCCCCCCACCCTTTCTCCCTCGCAACCCCCAGACATGGCTGGTCCTGACCTAAGGGGAACCTCCCCCCTCCCATCCACCCTGGTTCCCCCTAAAAATTTATTAAAACACCCCTGTAAAAACGTTCTTAGCTTAAATAATTTGGATAGTTTTTTGTCCGTGACCACTGCATAAGTACACAGGTTGATAGACTTAGTGCTACAGTGCTCCCACAAATCCAAGGGACTTTGCCCTTGTAAATAGATTCATAGTGGACAAAGAATATTTTACTCTGGTCCTGAGTCAGCAATGTTGGCTGAAAGCCCAAGGTATGTTGTATTGTGTACATGGGTTTCTATGGAGATGTGGAGAAGACCTTCAGCCAACAGTACTGGCTTTTCTCAGAAGGGAAAGATCCACCACTTCTTAAGGTACAGTAGTAGATCTATCTGTGATTACTTATTTGTTCAAAAGTGTGAAATTGATGGTAGGATATTGAAGTGTCCGGGGTGCGTAGTGTGTGTGTTGTGTTTCGGCAACTGCAGAGTTGGTATTCTCGTAGACTAAAAAGAACAAAACACAATACTGAATCCTGAGACTGATGCACAAAAGCTTAATTTGTAGTATAATTCTAGAGGTTAATAGAATTTATCCTAACTCAGATTCCCATGTCTAATTGCATTCAAATGCAACCACAAAATCCACAACAGAGGTTTTGAAAAAGAAAAGTGTATGTTTTAATTAAAAAAATGAATAACGTATTATTTTATTTCCCCCCTTCTACACACAGACAGTAGTCACTGATTTATTTCCTGCATTGAACTCCATGTTTTAAACAGTGGTTCCCCCCAACATTTTGTGTAAGAATGAAAAGAGTCCTAACACTCATGTACACAATTTACATTAAAAAAATAAAAATATCACCACAGTTTCTCATGCTGCCAAATCATAATAATGTAAATTAATTGATGCTGGTGTCCAGCTCAACATGGATTGATGGGGATCCAAGTAATACCTGAAAATGAAGGATGTAGAGAAGGATAATTTATACAATATAAATATGTATAAATATGCTCATTCTGATAAAGTTATTAGCTTCTAGAGATTGCCCATGAGGTAGCATTCCCAATTCAGTATGCATACTTCAACCCCTTTTGCACATTATAGCCCTCCCACAGCTTGCACAAACAATGCCTTTTTTGGTAGGGGGACAATGGGTGTTGTAGGTCCACCATCTCAGATTACAATATTTATTTATTTTATTTTTATCTGGTCTTTACTACTTTTACAAATAACTCAAGGCGGTGAACATATTCAATACACCTTTGCCTTCCTGTTTTCCCCACAACAACCCTGTGAAGCTGACAGAGAGTGACGGTCCAGAGTCACCCAGCTGGACTACACAAATCAATCCAAGTTTTATAGCTCTCTGTGTGTGTTTGTGTGTGTGCTTAAAAGCAGTTTTGACTGCTGGTGACTGCCTGGACTAGTCCCTGTGTTTTTCCTTGCAAAATGTTTGGAAGTGGTTTACTGTTGCTTCATCCTAGGGCTGAGAGAGTGACTGGCCCAGAGTTACAGAACAGGCATTGTATCTAAGGCAGGATTGGTACTCCTAATTTCCTGAGTTTTTTATCCTGGTGCCTATGACAATAAACTGCCTCTATTTTATAGTATTGCCCTACTTTAATCAAATACTAGCCCATCATTTGTTTCCGCCCCAATAATAATACATAACATTAATACCATACATATGAAATGCGATGTGTTTCTTATTTTATAATCATAAATATTACAAAAATGATATAGGGGACCTAGAATAATTTGAAGAAACTGAAGACACAGTCCAAATGTTTGGCTTGTTTTTAGGGGTTTTGTAATTAGGATGTAGATTTTAACTGAATTTAGAACTCAGCATTTACTCTTGAATATGAAAGTTACACCATTATTCCACTTCTAGCCACTAATAGGAATCTAGTTGATGTCTACAGTAGAATTAACAGCAGACAAGACTGACTATTACCTGAATAATTATAGTTCATACAATATATAT